GCTCACAGATGGCGGTAAGGTTGTCAGCATTACACGCCGGACACCCTTTAACGCCAGGAAGATTCCCGCTACTCATTTCTGTTAGAGGCCGAGTCGACCCTAGGTCCATAGTGTGGTTGGAAGGATTAGGTAAATTGAAAAAAAAATCCATGCATCAGGATTCGAACCCGCGACCTTCCGGCATATAGTGCCTCAGCCAACTACGCTACCCCGTGAATGTAAGAATATGAAGACAATTATTATTCGTGAATGCAACTGGGTTTTAAGTACCTACTTCTTTGTCCAAAATATGTAAGAAGGTGTGGAATACAGTGACAAAAGCTTCAAATAGGTTTGCTAAATTTCATTAGTAAGTGTCTGAAAAGGAGTGGAGGAGTCTTTTAAAAAATATAAACGTTCAAACAAGTTTCTTTTCTTTTTTTTTTCTTTTGCTTAGGATAATACAACAATTCATAGCCTGATTCGTTGAGTTCACATTGATAGGTATAGACTGAGTCACAAAAGCCAATCCATTTAAATCAGAGAGAAACCGCTATTTCTTTCCAGTATGTCTTTGTTAAGGGAACGCAAATTTTGAACGCTTTGCTCTAATGTAACGTGTTAAAATATACGTTTTGTTGCAATAATATAAACTTTCTCTCGAGCCTTTTTTATTTTCTTCTTAAACTGTAATATTCTGTTAATAATAGCAAATTCGTTCGCATTCTCATTCTCATAGATAAAGCATCAGCAATGTCATGGATTCTGCAAAGAAATTCTCTTGCAGTTATTACATTTTAAATAGCATCATATTCCTATAGATCTTTATAATGTTCTACATATATGAAAATATTGTAGAGGTGCTTGATGTAGCATTCAAAATTGTGGGAGGGAGACATTCAATTAAAATTCTTGTGAACAATTCTTTGAATTTACGGGAAGTAAGAGAACTACGTGTCGATCACAGTGGCCGCGCGGTCTAAAGCAGGAACCGTCTTCGCCAGCTCGAACATAGTAATCGTGGGTTCGAATCCGACTTGAGATATGGATGTTTGTGTGCGTTTATTCTGTGTGTAGGCAGCGGGCTTGCGGTGTGCTGATGACCCGTCCAAAAAGTCTTACCGACTGTGAACAGGATTAAGAAACTGACAAATCTGCCAAGAGAAGAGAGAGAGAGAGCGAGAGAGAAGAGTGGTTGTGTAGGATTACATAGATCTATCGAGAAAGTTCCAGTTACGGACATGAAGATTTAGCCTGTTTTGAGTGTTACGATCTGAGGTCCTCAAGAGACTCCTTGGATGAGAGATCAGCCCGTCGCAAGGCCTCTACCTGAACACAGAACAACACAAACGCAGACTAAACGCACACAATACAGACATACATACCTTCAGTGGGATTCGAACCCACGATCCCAGCGTTCGAGCAGGTGAAGACGGTTCATTCCTTAGACGACTCGACGGCTGGGGTTGGCCCTGATTCGTCTATAGTCTACAGTAATTCTTAGACAGGAGCTTGAACAAACAGCAATAAATACTCTTATTGAAATAAATCCGTTCTCATTAGAAATTTTATGAAAATATTGTGAAGTAGGGATCCATTGCTAGACAACGGCTCGATAAGCACCTTCCCAAGGAGACACATTCTTGGTAAACAGCCCGTTATTAGACAATACATAGAACATTACGCGATAATATTAGACGTTCATTGTTGGGCAATGAACGTGTTTTCTTTGGAGTCAGATCCGATGCTATAAAGCAGTGAGTGGCTCTGGCCCAAGTAGTAGTGGAGTAGTGGATTAGTGCAGTGTGGTCAGAAAGCAGAGTGTTCAGTCGAAGTCAGTGATTTGTGAAATCAGTTGTATAAAAGTCCAATAAATTCGATCATCAAATAAGAAACCCGTTCTATAAGTCACGCACACCTCTGATAAATGACAATACGTTTCAGAAAAGAATGGTTACACCTGTAAAATTTCAGACTTTTATTCACAGCCTTCATTCAAATCTCACTGCTGCTTCTACTGGTGGCGCGAACACACAAAGACAGAGTGTGAGCAGCGATAGCTAATTAGAGAGTGCGATATTGTAGCAATGAGCTAAGCTGTCTGTTTAATCCACAAGAAGCCTTGATTAAAGTCCAAAATAAAGAAAAATCTTAAGAGAAAAAACGAGACCACTGTGGGTGTTCCTAATATTAATTACCATCATTCCTATAGAAAGTGCATTGATACATTGTTCGGCTAGAGTAGAAAGTTCAGAAGACGGATTACATTTAAGTATAATATTTTAGAAGTCAGTTCTTACATCTGGACCGACTCTGTGGTCTACTGGTCAGAGTTCCTGGCTACAGATCCAGAGGCCCCGGGTTCGATTCCCGGGGCTACCAGATTTTCTGAGAAGTAGTGGGCGTGAAACGGAGTCCACTCAGCCTCGTGAGGATAGCTGAGCAGCTATTTCAAGGAAATAGCGACTCCGGTCTAGAAAACCGAGATTAAAGGGAGTGGGGATTCATTGCGCTGACCACGCGACGCCTCTATCCGCTAAAGTTGGCATTAACTTCGCCGACAAGCGGCGGTCGCTCGGTCGGTATAGTTCGCTTACGGACTAAAGCCATGGAGCTTTTTTTTTGTTCTTACATCTGAGAAAATATACTGCACCTGTATTACAAAAATCAATCGTGTTTATGGAAAGAGATTACGTTTGTTCTGAGAACCGAACAAAGTTTCTGTGAAGAGGGGCCACTTGTTAAATAGTTAAGAGATGAATAAGGCTACATACAGGACTGAACCTACTAATTTTATCATAACTACGAATATTAATTTATTTTAGAAACACACGACTAAACAATGAAATAAAAGAAAAATAAATAAAAACAGTTTTAATTGAAAGATGTAAAGAAATCCTGTTACTACATTTAAAAGTCAGCACGTTAGTACTTTTACGTTTAAAAACGCAGATTTAATGTCCAGAAGAAAAATTAATAATTTAAAAGTAAGGAAAGGAAATCCTCCAAGACAAATTCCTACATGAATTTATCGCAGCAAATCAAAAGCTTTCGGAACAAATTATGAACTTCAAATTCCAAACAATAGATGTGGCTTCACGGTCCTGGATGACACAACTCCTCGGTTCGAAACCCGCTCAGAGCTTACTGTAGGCCTACTTCATGTCTGCTGGTCGCTGTGTTGTTCTCTTTAGGTGTTAGTCTACCTTGCGAAAGGCCGGCCTGCATCAAAGGAGTATTATGTACGGAATGTCTAATAGATTAAATGAAACAGAAAACTGCTGCACAGTAGAAGACAAGCAAAGAAAGAAAGGAAGACGTGAAGGAAGGAGAGTCGGAGGAAAGAAAGAAACAAAAGAGTTCGAGTGGGTAGTTTTCCTTCACTTTCCGTTCTAAGTTATCGAGAAGCATGGACAATTTGAAGGAAAGTCAAATCTCGACTGGAAGGAGCTGTCTAGCCTTGCAGCCCCCCAGGCGATAAGACCTTCAGGGAGTCAATGGCCGCTTCTTTGCCCCCGCGCGTTCCGGCTTACCATTCATAGTCATTCTGACGCTTTCCAACGTCCGCAGTTGATACAGTGACCTTAAAGCAGTTACAGGCCGATATGTAGCGTACTCGGAAGGCCTGTAAAACAGTAATCATTACAATTAATGACAAAACCTTCATAGTTCATCATGCTCTTTGAAGCTTAGATATATAGTCTTCTTCGAGATGAAACCGTATAGTGTGGTAGAAGTTTACCGACTTTTAGGAGGAATATTCTCTTTCCATCATCAGGATATAAAAGTACTACTATATTCTGGAATATGACGCCGTATTGTCTGGTAGAATTTTACGACTTTCCAGTGGAATGTACTCCTTCCATCTTCAGGGTAGACAAGCACCCCTTATACAGTAAAAATAGAAGGGATACGCTCCTCCTAATTGTCGATAAACGTCTATCAGATTACACGGTGTTTCATAGGACAGTAATCTTCATAGTTACCGTTGTCAGAAGTTCAAATATAACGGGAAAAATGCCCTGTTTTGGGATGTGGCGCAGTGTATATATTGTGTAAACCGACATTTCGGAGGAAGGTATCACCCCCATCTTCAGGGTATAAAATCCGAGAGCGAGGAACTAGCTTGAGCAGGTGGCTGCAGACTGAGTCGCCAGTCGAAAGCACCCATCTCTATAACAAAAAGAATGGAAAATCTCAAATATTACATTCAAATATAATATTTTATACTTTCGTCTACAGCAACGCATTGCCTTTACTGGTCTCAAAATCCTCTTTCCATCGTTTACTTCATCTTTCCATTGCTCTTTGCCCTCTGAGTTCCTTATTCGACCACCTCTTCTCCTTGCTGTAAGTGCTCACTTGGGTTACCGGATGTTCTGAGTTTTGTGTGGTTTTCCTCAGTATCTCGAAGCAAGTGCCGAGATAATACACCGATTCGGCCACGACCTCTCCCTTCTAAATCCTTTACAATTCATCGTACATGTATCATACTACCACTCGACGCCGTGAAATAGCTGCTGACAGAGCCACGTAAAATGGTCCACAAAAAGAAAAGTTCTGTACCATCGGTTCCTAATGCAGTGATCTGTTCAAGTAGGCTCACTTTGCCGCCCTGGAGTCTCTCACTGTATTTCAGTGTATTGTTATCTGTTTGCGTCAGTCCAGCTAACGGTCTCAAGACGTGATTTCTGCTGTTCGTGGCTTTCAGGTGTCTCTCACGCCATGCCGGTATATTATTACCGTATTTTGTCTAATGTTTAACAAATACTTTACATAATTTCAGGTATTTACTTCAAATCATAATTTATACAGCATCAACCTATAAGCTTAAAAGTTTGCAGTGATTTTCCTAACCTCTATGTCCGTCTAGGATTCTTAAATTTCGTAACTGTTACCAATCAAATTATTGTTCTATTGGTTTATCACGCAGTAGTTATATATTGTATACAACATCGCTTTTTCCCGAATGTTGTTAAGAAGTAGTAATTAATAAATGACGTCTTCTTTGTTTTCAGCAGAAGGGGCGGAGGGAGGAGACGTAGCAACCGTTCCTCACACGAAAATTGCCGAAGGGAAAGAACCGAGAATAGCCGAAGTCGCGTAGAAGCAGCAAGGACCATGGAGGGGGGGTGCGGAGGAGGGGGAAAGTCGCGTGCAGTGCATCTTGTTTGTATTTCGAACTGTGTTCGAATAGGAGCAGGCAGGCCAAGTAAAGTTGCCGGCAGTTAAGACAGCCACCTTCCAAAAACACCAGCTTTCTTGGAAAAAGGGAGGTTACCCCTCCCTCCCTGCCGTTGTCAAAGATACGTTGTTCGTCAGTGTTGCTAGGACGTGTTAGTGATTCTAATTCAGACATTAGTAATAAATATTGCGCTGTCTGGCATCGTGGGTGCATTGGCAAGTGTAAAAAACAGCTGTCAGCGAGTAACAGACCGTCATCGACTCTACACACCGGCAGAAGATAAGCAGAAGTTGATCCACGGAAGAAATTCTTTTCTACGCTTGTATAAAAACGCGAAGCAAGAAAAAGACGTGTGTTGCCAGAGAGAAGAATAAAAAAAAAAGAACTGCCATCAAAAGTGGACGTGAAGGATTCACCCCCTCGCCTCTCCCCCATCCCTCTCCATCATCCCCTATGACTGTTTTTTGTGCTATCAGAGTAGCCGCAAAAGAAAGCACTTCCACGGCAGGCACAAGCAGACGGTTAAATGGAGCATGTGTTGTCAGTAATATAGACCAAAGTGTACAACTTTTTGTGTTCGTGATTGTGTGTGTTTGAACATAGACGACACGACAAAGGAATTCATTCCGTTTGCCTTACACAGAAATTACGGTTTTATTCGTAAACTTGAGAAGCTTGCTACAGTTCATTCATTCTAAACATGATTCATCATTGTTGCAGTGTTGTCAATAGTTACGTTTAAATTTAAGAACACAGAGAAACGAATCCTTGAAGATGACATACCAACATATAGATATGTGTTTCGAACTACAAGTGACATAGAGATAGCCATTTCGCAAGTGTGTTTACCGCGGATGTACTGGGTGTCATTCTAACAGTGCAGCTATATGTTATAAAACATAAACTTGAAAATCAAGTTTTAAAAGGATTCTGTTCAGTAGTGAACGTTAAGATTCCTTCGTAGAGAGATAGAGTGCATTTCAACATTACACTTATAATAAATTGTGCTGGTTCTTCATCTAATTTATGAACAAAAATTACACAATGATCTGTGACATTGGGAAGGGTTAAAATTTAGGTTACCCTTAGTTTAAGGGAAGCCTGTTCCATTACAGGCATAAGTGGTTAATGAACGTTAGGCCTATATACTTATGAGTGTCAAAATGTGTAGTGGTAAAGACAAAGGCTGAGAAGGAAACTGTGATACATTCTATTTCCGCTTCTCTGCTACGAATCTCCCGCCAAGAGCGCATTTGAATTGGTGAGGAACTTTTGAAACCACGCCGACGCCGTAACGCCGCCAAGATGTACCCGTGGTACCGGGATTCCGTGAGTCAGCTGGGACAGTTCTGCGCGCCTGGGAACCCCATGTCTACAACTATAAAGACTGAGAATGGTTACAACGACTGTATGCTGGCACTTGATTACGCCGCCCAGAGCAAGGTAAGCACTATGTGATCAATTGGAGTTGGGGGGAGGAAAAATTTTGAAGCATCGAATTCTATAGACAGATTGACTGACCAGTGATCCATGTCGTAAAAATTGACAACTTCTATCCTTCCATTCAATGACAGAACAGGAATTGTCCGTGTAGTAACGTAAATCCCGAGCTTGACATACATACTGGATACTAAGCCTCAGTTAATTTCGATTAAATAACACAAGTGTTTTAGTTGGAACTGTCAGTTTATCTTTATTACAGCGAAGAGTGATTGCAGTTCGATAGAATTCGCGGTCGTACAATGTATGTCTGTTAGCATAATTACGGTCTTCGAAATTAACCCGCGATAATCAACAGGAAATTCAAGTCTTCTAATTATTTATTTAATGCTAGTGGGGTGGGACTAAGTCCCTTGTACTGCGGCCACTTCTGGTCTATTTTACCAGCCCCAGATGATAGGTGAGGGTGATTGTGGAGCAATTGGTGGAATGAAGATTGGCAGGGGAAACCGAAGTACTCGGAGAAAACTCGCCCCAGAGCCAATTTGTCCACCACAAATCCCACTTGACCAGACCCCGGGATCGAACCCGGGCCGCCGCAGTGTGAAGCCAGAGAATAACCGCTTGAGCTATGGCGCGGCCCTTCAAGTCTTGCTGTAACTCGGCCTTATATTGTAATAAGAGTATGAAAAAGACGCAGCTGTAAATTTTATCAAGATGTATCTATATTAAGCTATAAGAAGAGGGTAAGACGTTTTGGGGTGTGTGCCGTAGCATTGCGTTAAGAGAAACCCACCATATACTTAACACTGAAATATGAACTCAGTGAGTTTTCTGAAACTTCGGTGATTAGGAAAACAACGCTTTTCTTCAATCGAAATTTAATCAGTATCATTGTAAAAATAAAGAAGATCGCAAGATGGATAATATTAAAAATGTACTAGGTTTTATTTGGCCGTAGTTTCAAATCGAGTTTGGCGACTGTTTGTAATATCTCAAAGTGTGATTAACCTTGCGTAAGAAGTAATGACAGTGCTAACGGCTGATGTAAGAATTTCTGAGCATGTCCTTTCAAAGAAGAATTTGAAGGTTTACTTTTAAAGATTCACATGTCGACGATTAACTTTTAAAATTCAACTGATTTAAGAAACGCTTGCTTTATTTCTAAGAGAAAACTTACCCTTGTTCGGTAAAACACGGCAGACGTTTTGACTGAGAAGAAAATACGCTACAAGTTTTTCAAATATTTTATAACGAATTAAATGTTAAATTACGGAATCCATACTTCTTCTTTACAAAACCACAATTGATAGAGAGTTAAGAAATTTGAAGCTATTAATTAAATTTAATTTTTAACCAGAAATGCGAATTACATATTCAGATTTGTTTCTATATAGTTTTGGTTATATTTACGCAGGCCTACGCCAATATTATTGGGAAAATTTTAACTGGAGAAATAATGACAACTTTTTATTTAAAGTGAATAGCGATTCGTAAGAAACCATTTCCATTATGATTACTTTGAGTTCATGCTGAACCTTTTGCAGAAGAGTGACAGATAGGTGTACCATTGGCCCAAATTTAAGGTAACAAAGCTTCTTGCCCGCAGCGTCCATTTAACTTGTGGGGTTTGTTTTTCAGTTTAAACAGCGACTGTTTCTTTAAATTAATATTATTACGAGGAGATTTTCTAAGAGATAAGATTCTATTTTTTAAATATTGTTTAGAACATTTTACTTTTGAAAATAATTTATCCATTGAAAGAAGATCCAGCCTTTAGCACCATCCCTAAATTTTATTCTGGTTAAAATTTAAACAGGCCTCAGTTACAACTCAATAAAATTACTAATTGGCCAATTGAAATGCTGCAATAATCTTGATTTATATTAAAAGCTACGTTTATCTCGAGAAAACAATGTTAAATATTCTGTTCAGAACCGGGGGATAATGGGGCTTATTTAGAAAACTGGAATAGGAATTTGCCATGGTTTCCTGGTAACTCACACGAAATTTTGATCCGAAATGAAGGATGTCCAAGCCCCACAATACACCAAAATGACAGTTACTAGTAATTCTATCATTAAGGGATCGTGGAAATGGTGATCATATTAATTGAAGACAGCGAAATAATTTTACAAGAATTATCTCTTATCATTTGTCAGAAATAATATCATCTAAAAATGGACAGGGTAACGCATATTATTCGTTAATAATACAGAATTAATAACTCAAATGTTTCACGTTTCATTCAGTAGATGTTGAGTATTTGCTGTGCACGTATAAGCCATTAGGGAACGCACAATTAGTGATGAAGGGATGAACTACAAGTTAATTCGTTTGAGTACTCTTTATAATATTTAGTTCCATCCTCAGGGGTTCTGTTTGTACTTCCGACAGATGAGGGAAGGGAGGAAGCAAGGGGATTCGACTCTCCCTTGTCTCTTTTTAACTGAGGGAGAATATTGCGTAAACTTTAGTCGTGATGAGGTTTGATTCAGTGCAACTGTCTGTGAGGCGACATCAAGTGTTAGGCCGGAAAACCTGTCTAAACGGGAACCGGATTCAAAAGAAACCTGTTTATATCAGAAGACATTTCTGGATTCAAACATATTGAGTGAAAACAAATATAATAAGCCCTTATCTCCAACAAATATTCTTTCATTAGTATATTTTATAATTAAATGTTTGAACAAATGGTGACGATGAGGTTAGTACTACCGCTTTGTATTCGGGAGCCCCTTACTTCGAATCTCAGCCCAAAGAAATGTATCGTGATTTTCCTCACTTTATCCGTGATAAATGCTGTGGGAGTAGCTTAAATTACGTTGCTACAGTATCTTTCTGTATCTTTCCCAATATTCACAAACATAGGCCTAATAATATTCGAAGTTATATGAGCAGTGCAGGTCAAGAAAGGTACTTAGGCAAAGGAAGGATAAATATCGTAAATCTTACTTTAAAACCGGCTTTGTGGATAGGCCTGAATATTAATTCTGTAAGTTTGTATGATTGTGAAACGTAGTCTGTTGCTTTGATTTATTCCTCCGAAACGTCAGTTAACTTTCAACGGTCCACACGGCTTTATGTTTCAGAACACATTACTCTTCATTAAAAAGAGCCGTAAGGAGTCGGGCTGCCAGACTGAAACTGGTTCAGAATCGCTTCTGATTTCGCGTCTTAGGATTAGAGGTGTTGAACGTTTAGTCTCAGCTACTGCAGAATTATTTATATTCGATTATTCTTTCCCGTATCGCATTATATATGTCTTCTGGTGAGAAGTCGCTGTGTAGAGAAATAATTTGCAACGTTAGTACGAAGGCTTGTATTTAGTAGCGGATGAGATGAAATTTTTACTTAACGTTATGAGCGTTGCTGAAGCCATTTCGATGCAGTGAAAGTAATCAGTCACTTGTACTTACTTTTGCCGATCTCTACCATAAGTAAGATTAATTTGTTGTAAACTGCTAGTAACTGCTATCAACAATGACAGTAAGGGCGTTTATTAATAGCATAAGATACAGGAACTACAGATATATATATATATAAAATAAAGAATGTATTAATAATCGGTTCAACGGAAATGCTTAAACGAGATTTCAAAATGCAAATATATTTCTGAGAGAAATTTTATGGACCAAGAGACACTCTTAGGGAGCTTAGACCCTTTCATCTCAATAAACTGCTTCAGACCTTTTATAAGACTCAAATTTCGTTACTGTGTTCAAGGGTATCCATCATATGACCTTATCCTGAACCAGGCAAATTCAATCTATACAGTCAGAACCTTTTTCATGAAGATCCGTTCAATAGTCTCTAAGTATCTGAAGTGTTGAACTCAGTACTCCAGCAGAAATTTTACAAAAATTCCCGTCACACACTCCGAGCTATATATCGCCTCATTTATTTCGTCTTTCTAATAATATTTGGTGAGACTCCTTTTGTAATTCCCCGTACCCTCCTATTACTTATTTCGTCCAGATATTTTCTGCAGCACCCTACCCCCAAACACCTTCACTATATCATCGTCCGTTGAGGCGAGAGGCGAGGTTTCATAACCATACAAAGAGACATGCGAAATGTAGACTATCATACAGTAGCCGTTACGCTTTCAGACAGGGGACGGGTAGAGGAAAGTTTGTTAAGGGAGCTTTACTAGACATTGCACGATTTAATCTGCTTTAATATTGTCACGAGAAAATTTTCGATTTGTCGCCCTCCATTGCAAGTATTTGGACACATTTTAAGAGGATTTGTTAGTCACTTCTAAGTCGGAATAGCGCAATCGTTATAGCGACTGGCTGCGGGCTGGACGATCGAGCAATCGCAATTCGAGTCCCCACAAGGGCAAAAATTGTATTTTCTCCAGGTCGTCCAGACCGGCTCTGGAGCCCACCCCGCCTCCTCTCCAATGGGTACCGGTGGACTCTTTCCTCGGGGGTAAAGCAATCGGGGTGTGAAGCTGACCACTCACCTCCTACTAGAGCCGAGGCCAAGAAAATATGGACCTATACATCCACTCATCCATACGCCTTCATGGCGTAGTGCTTAATTAGTTAAGCATAGGAAAAAATTTTGAGCCGGCATAGCCTAGTCGGCATAGCGACGGACCGCAGACTGGATGATCGAGGGGCCGGAGTTTGAGTCCCGGAAGGGCCAAGAATTTTTTTTTCTCCACGTCATCCAGACCGACTCTGGGGCCCACTCAGTCTCCTATCCAGTGTTTATCGGAGGTTCTTTCCCTGGCGGTAAAACGGCCGGGAAGTGAAGCTGACTACTAACCTCCATCCACTCCCCCGTACGCCTTCCTAACGTAGCACTAAATTTTAGTTAAGCTCAGGGACAACCTTTTTTTTTCTTTTGGTGCTACAGCCCCAATTATGGGCCTTGATCTACTCCATGAAACTCTCCGTTTTACTGGGCGTGTGATCAGCCCGTCGCAAGGCCTCTACCTGTATATAAACACAGAAAAACGCACACATACACACACAAACACTAAACATTCA